CAGCAGGTTTAAGAAAATTGTTCTGGCTCCCTCTCGTGGCAGTATGTTACCTAAAAGGTTGTGGAATTATTTCGTCATAGAATGTACTGATTTTTAAGAAGCTGCATGTGCTAGTTCTCTTACAGTTGCAACCTCTAAATTGTATTTAGTGATTTCTTCTTCACATTACATGAGCAAGTTTTGAAATTATTCAACTGAAGACCCAGACTCACTGGATTGGCATCTAGGGATGGCATAAGTCAGGATTCTGATAAAGAGTTCGGTGTACTTCAATGCAGAAATCATTCATTTAATTGAGGAGTATTCATTTTTTTGAGAACAAAAACAAAGGCACGGCTCTGTTAGAGCCTTAAAAAAGCAGTGAATTCCGGGTTGTTAATACCACGCTGCTTTATACGACTATGAGTTAAGTAGCACCAGCACAACAAGTACTGGCCCAATGTGGTGCCCTAGTTTCTGTTTTATCACATACAGTACAAATGTGGACACATTTGTTCTACAAGAATACTACAGCAACGCATTACGTCCCACAGTGCTCGCTACTCATGTGCTTACACGATGCGCTTGCATCTTAAAGGCACCTTTCCATCAGTGCTATAAGGGGCTGGTTAACTACCACCCTCACATACAAATTAAGATGGGGGGTGAGGAAGACTACTAATCATCACTGCCTTCAACTGAAAACTTCTGGAAAAAGGTTGAAAAGTGGTCACAAGATCATTGCCACTTTTTCTGAATAGGGTAGTTAGCTCATGTAAAAGGGTAGGAAGGAATGAAGGCAAGCCTCAAGAAGCTGTTCCTCATGAAGAAATAGAAAATGTGCTTTTCTTAAAAGAAGGAATTCGTATTAATTCAATGAAATAGGCATAGGACAACTCAAAATAGGAAAGGCAGTTTAACTGACATCCCTGAACTACTTAAAGGTTTCTAGGTAATAACCAACGTACTGAAGAGGCCTTTTCATGAGGGGAAATTTGACAAAAGTTTTCCAGGAAAGTGCTGCAGAATTTTTTTAATCATTAAATAATACTGAAACAAATCCTAAAGAAGCTTCAACAGCTATCTTTTCTGCTCAAATTCAACATTCCCATTTAAGGTTAACAAGAATTCTACACTCCGCAAGGCTTTTCCCAAAGTAAACATTAATTTCTAAAAATTAAAACTGACCTAACAAGCTGGGATCTGCGCGAACCATTTTCTGTTTCTTCTTTTTCTTCCCGCTCTGCACAGCCTCAAAATTGGATTGCTGGTTGTTGCTCTGATTGGTCTGAAAGACCGAATGTAGCGAACTGTGGTTCATCCCCCACACTGAATCCTAGAAAACAAAGCAAGTACAAGATTAGAAAGTGCAATTAAGTTTGGTTTATTTATATTGAAAACATTCAGAGAGCCCAAAGCACTTTCTACATCATGTGTGGCAGCACTAGCTACTTATGCATCCATCCAATACATCTACCTCATCCTTCTACAGCCTATCCTGGATCAGCATGCTAAGACATTATTTGATCTTCAGCTGGCCTCAACTGTTAGTTATAAAGGAAACTTTATTCTGCCGTAAATATTCAAAATCTCCTTTATTCTCTGCATTTCACATGACCTGTAAAATCCTGCTCATCCTCTTATCAGTTCAGCAGAAACGCAGACTCTTCAGACTCAAACATAGTCTCTATACACTCCTACAGACTGCACCGAGTAAGATTTACCTGTTGCTGCTGCTGTTGCCGCTGCTGACTGGCTTTCTGTTTGGCACGGCGCTCAAGAAACTGCTTGGCAAACTCCTTGGCCTCAGGAGTATCTCCAAGATAGGCTCTGATGTAATCATGGACCTCATAGGGAGACTCCACTTCCTTCAGGAAAGAAACAAACGTGGGAACTGCAAGAAGAAGGCAGACCATGAGGGAAAGCATGTTGATGCGTGAACATGTGCATGCAATAAACACAAACTTTGGATTCCTGTTTCAAATATTTGCTCATCTAGAAGCCATGGCCAACAGCTTGCCCTTTGAAGTTCCCTACAGTAAAGCCCTACAACGCAATACTAATTCTATTCTACAGTCAAGGCAAGGTTAAGAAAGCCAGCTAATACAATGAGAAGGAAAAATAAACTGATGATCCTATGGGTATGTTAGCCCATCAGCTTTAGCCACTGCCAGCTTTAAAGCTCAGATTTAATGTCAGACTCAAATGGAAAATAATCACCTCAGACCTGTCATCAGTACAGTCTCTTTTTGGCTGAAGCACAACAGATCACACTCCACAGTGGCTGACCTGACCTGCAAGCACCTGATATTCAACAGCTAGCTCACCTGCAAGCTGCCTTTACATCTTTTTTTCCTTTAGAATACCTCTGTTGCATTGAATTTTTTTAACATGGAAAAGGGCAAAGCAAATCCAAGCCAGGAAGACACCAGGACAACAGGCAGCCGCCTGTGGCACAAAGTACCCTTGGAAGCACAGAAGCTCACTGTGGATGCATGAGCCACGATGGCACTGCAGAGCCACAGCCACTCCTCAGACACAGCTAGTTAGTACATCACAGGCAGGGACAAGTTACTTCTAGTATCTTTCCTCTAAGAGGAGGGAAGCTGCGGCGCTGCACTTGTGTGAGGTGCGTTCCTGGGTCTCGGGGCAGCGCTGGTTCCTCGCTCAGGTTCAAGAGTCCCACAGAACCGTTAACTTTGCAGCGTGCAGATGCTGGAGCACAGGGATCTGCACACATCCACACTGGAGGCAGCAGGATGTCTGCAGTGCTTTTGGTACAAGAAGGTATCGGCTTGTGATCTCAGGCTGGGCATTCCTCCATGTGCCCTCCAGCAGAATTAGTAAAATATGCAACCAGTTTCACACCAAAAAATGCTTTGCACAGGGGCGTATGATAATTTGACCTGCACTTAAAAGCGAACTGGATCCTCATCCATCTGCCTGATAATGCTTCCATGACCACCAAAAATCCTCAGCAGAACTCTGGGTGGCAGACTTGAAAACTGTTTCCAATCCCCACTGGTTTGCTATAGTTAGCCCAACAAAAGCCATGGAGAAGACGATGCACACATTTCTTTGGACCACTATTAATGATGCCATTTTGCTGACTGCATTAAAAACATTACTTTGACGTCATTACTCTCCCTCCAAACTATTTGGTCAGGAAACAAACTGGATATTGTTTCTCACAGTGAATCATTTACATTCCTCCCCACCTCTTACCATCTAAATTGTTGGCTGTGTTGAGTGCATGAAGCATCTGTTCACACCACTGAGTGAATCCATCCTGGGCTTTATTAACCCCCTGGAACAATTTCAACAGCTTCTCCTCTTCTTCCACCTTCTTGTTTTGTCTACTTGTAATACCTACAGATTTGCTGAGGTAAAGAAAACATGTAAGAAATTACAAATTACCAGACATCAACAGTGCAGTGTGCAGTACAGTGTTAGAAGAATCACCAGTTTACAAGATGCAAACATGGTTTAAAAACCAACTAATTTGCCAAGCAGATGAAAAAATAAATTGTCACCTATTAGCTATTTTTGTTGTCCAAACAGATTCTAAGTGACACAGAAAAAAGGAAGACACATGAAGATGTTATAACTGCTAAGTGATCATCTCAGGAGTGGTAGCCTTTCTTTGCAAAAGCTCCTTCCCCAGTTCCTACCTGAGGCTGGCATTGCTTTTGTTTTTATTGGTCGAGTTACGAGGTCCCACTTCCTTCACTGCATCATCCCAGAAACCCATGTTTGAGTTTTTGGTATCAGCATTACTCCAGATGCTACTGACTAGGTCAGATGCCCACTGGTTGCTGGGATTAGTGTTTAGGGAGCCCCACACTGAATTCCCAATGCTGGTGTGCAGGTTAGAGTGCTGTTGAAACATAACAAAGAGATTCTGGTTATTAGCACCAGACCTGGCAGAGCAGTAATGAACAGACACGGAGAACTGTCATGTACTGTTTCCCTCCACATACTGATTAGATACATACTGTACCTACCGTAGTATTTCTGACTCTGTTCGGCTGCTGGTGCTGCTGTTGCTGTTGTTTCTGCATCTGCCTTGCCTCCTCCTGCTGTATCTCCAGCAGGGACTTGGTGGTGCCTGTTGGTTTGGTGACATTACCCCAGCCTGACAATTTTTGCTGCTGTTGCTGCTGCTGTTGCTGGAGGGCCTTCATTAGTTCACGCTGCTGACGTCTTTGCTGTTGCATGCAAGACAAAAGTGCTTGTCCATACTTTCAGAAGATCATTACTATTCAAAAGTCTAGCTGGGAAACTGGTTTTAAAATTATTTCAGTCTCTTCTGGAGAAGTCTGGCTGACCTATTATTTTTTGAGCCATTACAGTTCCTCCGGAAAGGAAGACACTAAGTAACCAGTAAATACAAATTGTTTATTAGCCTAGGAGAGAATAAATTTGTCAAATTGTGACAGCAGCCAGCTATGCATTTGAGGTCTTGGAGGAATACCTTCTCTCTTACCATCACTTGTGTCATGTCACCCCCTCCATCCGCTTTAAACTACCCTGGCCTTGTACATATCTGCAATCATATTATAGGCGTGAAATAATTTTATAGTTTTGTGAACATATTACACTCCGAGGGTTAAAAGGGTACAGTTTTCCCCTCATTTCAGATACTTGCATTAAGAAGCTATAAAAACTTTCAAACAAGTACTTACTGAACCTATGCCTGAAAGACAAGATTTTATCTGAGTTATGCTATTTCAAAAAAACATTTCTCATCCTCACCATTCCTTCTAACAACTTAATTGACAGTTAAGCAGTCACACAGTTGAGTCCCCTCAAACAAGTTACACTCCATTACTATTAGTATTTACCTCTTCTCGAAGCTGCCGTTCTCGTTCTTCTTCTAACTTCTGGATTTCTGCCAATGACAGTGTGGTCTGGGATTGACAAGCTCCTGAATTTGATTGCTGACCCCATGTTGAAGATGAAGGGAGCTGGGCCAAAAAAACACACCATTAGGAATTACAAAACGTTTTAGAGAATACTGCTGAAGCATAATCATGAAAAATCGGTGTAAGCCCACAGCACAGGGGAAAAGAAAGGCCACCTTTAAAGTTTAAACAAAAAAACTGGAAAGTATAAAATGGTATAATGAAGTATAAAAAAGTACAAAGTATAAACTGTATGCTGCTTTGAATTGCCTCTGATGTATCATAGTGTCAAAGACATAGTGTATCAAGAATAATGTAACACATCACTGCCTGTAAAACAGCAATCAATTTTGATTTCAAAAGACTCTAGACACTCCAAGCTTTAGAAACTTTGCACTGGCCCTTGCTCACTGCAGCAGAATAAACATCGGTACTCACCTGTGAATCTCCTTCCTGTACGCTTCTATCGACTGAACCTTTTACTTTTTTATTTTGTAACCTACCTTCCTCTCATTTCTCTCATCACTTTCAGTCAATTATTTACCCTCCTCCCTCTCCAGATAGTTCATCTGTCCCTGCTCTGTTCAAGACAATCCTGAATCCAACTGTGGTTTTACTTACTACACTGAACTGAAAGAGGAAGTTAAACTATAGCAACACATTACCTTCATTTGTGCAAGTTGCTGCTGCTGCTGCTGCTGTTGCAGCCGTCGTAAAGCCTCCTGCTGCTGTTGCCTCTGTCTCATTATTTCTTTCTGGCGCTGGAGTTCCAGCTCCTTGCGCTTTCGCTCTTCTTCTTCGAGCCGCTGTCTGGCTGCCTCTTCTTCCATACGTAGCCGACTTTCTTCAAGTCGCCGTTGAGCTTCCTCCTCTTCACGTGCCCACTTGGCAGCCTCCTCTTCCTTCCCAGGACATAAGAGAGTAGTAAAGTCTAAGTAGACTTAGCAAATCTACATTACTCCTAGTCTGTGGTGTTGACATTCTGACAGAACAGGAGACAGGCCTTTATATCTGTAAGCTGTGCTCTTTAGGTTGTTCATTTACCTTTACATTTCTCAGGCAAGAAAGCCTAATAATATAGTCTATATCCCCTAAAAATACAAGTTTACCATAGCTCCACCGAGGAACTTGAAAGAGAATGACATGTCCCTAGTTCAGACTAGCTAGTTTTATTCCACTTTCCTTCTAGGAGTTATACACCTTGCAGTCTGAGCTTCTATCTGCTTATACTACTTACAGTCAAGTACTGTTACACTCCCAGTGGAATAAAACTTGACAGAAATAAAGGGAGAAGAGGTTTTGACATGAGACACTGACATTTACTGTTGTTACTCAACACTAGAGTTGCAAGGGAAAACGTGCTTCTGGCTACCAGAGGAGATGACTGTGTAGTGGGACAGAAATGGTGACGAATGTCTTATAAAGGAGAGCCCTGAAGAAGATTTTTTAAATATTAACTAGCAATTCTGGACCTGGAAGTTAATGTGAAGCCAATCATGTTTCAAGATTAGGTTGGTTTAGGGGCTGTGACAGTATCAATTAGGGGGCTGGAAGCTCAGGTTCACCAATATGGACTTCTAAAGCTGACCCCAAGAGAAAAAAAAACCCTCTGTTAACAGTAAGACAAGAAAAGGGAAAAAAAAAAAGCTGAAACTTTGATAGTGGGTATAGTCCTGGCATAGCACAGAAAGACTGGCAAAACCTACCATCTCAGATGATGTTAAAGGTAACAATTCTACAGTAAAGGCTCAGAGAGTGATAGTTCGAAACAAGTTATTATTCTGCTACTGTAATCTGCCTTTCTTTTGAAGAAAAGAGTAGAAAGACCATGCTGCAAAGCCATTCTTAAGGCTCAAAGGAAAACGCTCATTCAACATAAATCTCTTTTCCAAAGGGCAGATTGGATTCCAATTATTTCATCTGAAATGAGGATACAGCTTATTTTTCATTCACTCAATACTGTCTAAAAAGCTTTGCTCTCCTCCACCAAAACTGAAGTTCTCTCAGGCACTGATGCAAGTTTCAAAGCTTGTTTGTTCTGGCAGCCTCCATCATTAAATATAATAGGTCCCTTTTGCCATCTTTTACCTGTTTACGAATTAACTCCTCTCGCTGCCGTCTCTCTTCCTCTTCTCTTCTTCTCTCTTCCAATCTTCTAAGTGCTTCCTCCTGTTGTTGCCGCTCCTCTTCTTCCCGCTGCCTCCTTAGTGCAATTTCCTGCTCTCGTTGTCGCCTCAGGGCTTCCTCCTGGAGTTGGGAACAAAATGTCAATCTATAAATGCCACTTTATTGATGAACCACATCAGAACACAGACTACAACATGGTCTGGTCAGATAAATGGCCATAAGAAAAGCTCCTTAGCTCCAAGCTAAGCACTACCAAAACAACTATATTAAACACTACAGACCCACATGTTAACAAGTGCATCTCATAAATGAGTTATTTTAATGCAAAAAGAAACACATGAAATCATTGCCTATCTTTGGTTTTAAAAAGAATGGTGTTGAGAATGAAGACAAAGGGTGAGACTCCTCTTTCCACTATTTATGTTTTAATGTGTGGGTATCATTAATTCTTTTTTTTTCCTTTTTTTTCTTTTTTTTTTTCTTTTTTTTTTGAGTGTCAAGCTATAAGTTGGAAGTTTTTCCTACTTATAGGAGTTTCTAAGCACTGACTACTGAAGTGCACTACAAAACTCAAACCACATCTCCAGAAATAAGCTGAAGGAGCCCAGTGCACTTAAAGACACTGTAACCTTTGGAAGTCTCAGAGATGCAGAACTCGATGGAAGGGCTTTGACTGGCCTATTCCTATGCTTTTTAAAAATTATGGGCAACAAAAGGTCTCTTGAGGGCTTTGATTTTGGGCTATCTCTAAATTATTTAAAGAGCTTCCAATAAATTATGTTTTGCCTTCCAAATAGCAAAATTATTTAATTAACTCAACAAGAAATCAGTACCCTTTCCTACTGCTCTGAAGATCAACATGAACAGAAGTTTTTCCAATGTGCTACTTGCTTTTTGGAGGAATAGGGTGCAACCAGCCTTCAGCTGGCTTCCTGTATATTGTTAAAGGGGAGCACATCTGTGCAGCTTTTCCCCCAGTTCTGACTTTTCCTTGGGTTTTGCTGCCTTTTCCGATCTCTGAAGTCCAGCAACTGCGTTAAGGGCACCCTGCTTCTCATCCCTTCTATTCTTCTCTCCACTTTCTGGCTTATCCTACCAGCTCTACCTAAAGTTCCTACTTTTTGGACAAGAACTTTAAGCTTTCAAAAATACCTTTTCTTTTTGAACAATCAGCACTGTACAATGGTACTCTTACAAGTTTTTTTATAAGCAATACATTATTCACAGGATGAAGGGAGACTAATTGTGCAGCATGGATATAAATTTTGAACTCTGGTAAATCAAGGCAGTTAATTCTGAAATCTAAGACCTTTTACTAAATCTGATACCAAACTTTCATATACACACAGCATAGATAAACTGCAATATGCAGTTCGCTGAACAACTGGACCAGGTTTCTCTCTGACAGTGACTAACTTCAGATGTCTACAATATACCTGTCCAGCACACAGAACATTTTTTATAAGCAATCTTATGGCACTGAAGAGCTGCTGGCCGCAAGTAAGTGATATACAGGAGTATGAGTTAAGTGGTTTAGTGCTAAATGTAAGTGCTGTAAGTGTAAGTTTTTCTTCCACTAGCTGGACATAAAACAGTAGCCTGTGAATCATTTACTCATTAATCAAGTCCTTGATTTGTCATATTTACAAAAGCTTCAAGCACACCACACAACACCTAGACCATTTTTGTAACTTGTGCCTGTAATGGAATTAATTGGACACGTGCAATCAAGTCACAATAATCCTGTGTCCCCAATACAAGTGCTGAAAAATTTCTGCTTGTTTCTTTTGCTGAAAAGTCTACTGAGGAGGCTGGAGGTGTGCCAGTCGGTTTTGTTTGACTAGAGACCGCACAGCGGGATCTCAGCTCAGGCTGCCTAGCTGCCAGCCAGGCTGGGGGGATGTTCGGCACTAGTCATTGAAGTAACACATAGTACCTGAGCGAGATGAACAAAGTCACCAAGTCCTCCTTTACGATAGCAGTTCATTGACATCTCTGCCCTACTTTCCCTTTGGGAAATGAGGCTAGAACTGCCATTAACAAAGCTACAGGGATCTCCTCCTTGCTCACGCGTGCCAGGAGAGACATTGTTGAATGACAGCAATTTAAAACAAAAAGACTTCTCTCCCCTAGAGGACTGAAGATGAACAGTGTTGTACCAACATAAGGAAAAAATCTGCAAGATTATGAAAAGCTGGGAACCACGTGGCTGATGCAATTCTTTTTTCCTACTCTTCACAGCTATAGAAAAGGTTGTCTTAATATTTACTTCTGTATCTTCTTATTATTCAATGTTTTTGTTTGAGCATGTGACCAAAAACATTCAAAGCTTTCCAGCTTTCTGCCATTGACTTGTATGGGAAACAGACTCATTCCTTTGGCTCTTACTACTCCCATACTCATGGCTTCCTGCTCCAAGAGAATCCCAATATTCTTTAGCATCTTTTCTAATAATTGTTTTCAAGCACACATATCATGCTGTACAGACAATTTATTTCAGATCTTTTAAAATATCTATAATATTGCAGAAAATCCTTAAGCAGCAAGCCTCATTTTGGTAGACTCCGGATTCTTAAATAAAACATTATAGAATTTTTTGCAGCTCGTAACACCTGCAATTCTGCTTTTCTGTTAGTAGGGCTTACAAATCTTATTTTTTTGTGTCTCATCTTTGAATCAGGTACTTTAAAGGGAGCACTAAAGATATAATTCAGAGAAAACAATTATTAGCTAATTATTAAACCTCAAAATTTGTTCCTGAAAGCAATCAATCATTACAAAATAGAAGGTATCAGACCAGAAACAAAAAAAGAAATACAGGAGCTACACAAGCTGGGCATTACTGTTTGCAATTCTACAGTGCAGGTAATTGATGAAAACTATGAACAGAACTTGATTCAACATTTGGTATGACATTTCATCCTACAGAATTGAATTTCTATTAGTTATTTTTTTTATTTAGAATTCACCATCAACAGCATATTTACTAACCTTATATACTAGTCTTTTATGCAGTATTACATCAAAAGCCTTCCTGAAGTCCAGGCAGATTAAGTCTACTGCTTCACCCCTCTCAGCTCTCACTGTCATCTCCTCAAAAGAAGTTAATCAAATTTGTTAAGCATCATCTCCTCTGTATAAATCCATGCTAATAAATCAGTTCATCCCTGCTTCTACAATGCCTTCCAGTACAGAAGTCAGATTCAAATATCAGACCAGTTTGTGTTTGTTTTTTTTTTTAAATACAGAATACAATATTATTTTCTCTTTCCAGAGAAGTGCTTAAACTCTTTGTTACCTTTTCAAGACATTACTGCTCAGAATTAAGCATTGTGGCAATTATTGCATTGGTAATGAACTAAGATACTTGCTGTTACTGCTTTTCAATCCCATTCTGCTTCCTCCTTGTAAATAATTATTTCCCATGACATCTCAGAAAGGGAGAGTCAGATTGTTTACTGTACAAATCCAAACTGGACAAAAAACTTTGGAATTTAATGGACATTTCTAAGAAGTTACACACAGTAGCAAAACTTAGTCTGAAAAGAAACAACCCAAGTCTATTGGAGGCCACCATGGATGAAACACATTGAGTTACCAGGTGATCAGCTGAAAAATTAGTTCTTATTAAAACAGATCTAAAGCAATGTAACTCAAAAGTTAAACTTTTGTGTGTATTATTGCTTTAGTGCTACAGTAAAGCTTGAACTTGAGCATCAAAGGACGCTTTTCCACTGTATACCATGATGACTTGCTGAACACAAAGTAGAGATATTAAAGCAAGGAGCCATTTATTTATAGACTTGATTCTTAGAGATACCATGAAAGCTAACTACATATCACACTGCTGTCTATTAAAATAGTTCTTCAGTGACAAAACCCAAACACTGAGTGAATTTCAGAGGTCTATGACTAACTTAGAAATAAAACTAAAGATTCTAGAGGCTTCCTCAGAAATGTCTGATCCCTAAACCAGGAAACATGCTTTACAACTGCCTACATAAGCACACAGAAAATACTATAAAGGACAAAACTATTTATTACTTTTGCCTATTATTCAAGTGCTACTTTACAGGGCATTTGTTGACTAACTCCTTAGTGAAAAAGCTCAACAATGTGCTTGCCCTTATCCTTCACATGCAGAGCGAAAACTAACTTTCACTGTCTTTCTCTCCTACGTCACTTAAGGAACAATTAATTTTCCATACAGAATTCAGAAGCAAATGCTAGAAACATTAAGCTAATAACGTCTCCATTTCGTGCTCTTGTAAGATTATGAGCATACTGCAACTCCTACATTCATTCTCCTACTGCAACACAGATCACGTCGTTCATTTTAACAAATCTATTTGTCCAAACCACATCCCTTCCTTTCCCAAGTACCAACTCAAGAAAATAAAGCTGACAGACTATACAACATAACCAAGATAATAATTTATTCAAATTAGTTACTAAGTTAAAAAAAAAACAGGGAAAAATTAGCTAAATGTTACAACACTTTTTTCCACTATAGTCCTCTACATTTTATTCATTTGAAACAGCTGCTCAAGCTCCAGTCTACTCCAGAACATATCCTTACCAAAACACTAAACTGCATAAATGGTGAATAAAGATTAAACATACAATAACTGGGCAACTAACTAAAGCCTAATATTGACACTAAGAAGTTGGGAGGGAATACTCCACATGGAATAAAGCCTCTCGGCTCACAAACAGGAACCTATCTTTAAGTGAACCATTAAAGCCCATTTCTCAGATTGCAATTTGGGCTCTTAAACTTCAAATCAACAACAGAAGAATCATTTCGTATACTCACATGAAAAATATTAGAACTGTCTTCATACGCACCTACCAAAGATTAATTAGACCCCACAGGATTCTTAAAGTGAGTTTTATAAAGTATTAAAATTAATTAGAGATTAACTACATTGAGGAAACTCACTTGCTTCCTGCGGGCCAGTTCTTCTTCTTCCCGTCGTTTCCTCTCATCTTCCTGCTGCCTCCTAAGTAGCTCTTCTTGTTGCCTCCGAAGCTCCTCCTGCCTTTTCCTCTCCTCTTCCTCTCGTTTGGCCCTCATTTCCACTTCTCTCCTCTCTTGCTCTAGCTACAATTCACATAAAACTATACTCAGATGCAGGTAACGTATTCCTACACCATGTCTTAGGGCAACTCTGCTGAGATTATAGCAACAACGTAACAGATGAAGCCTCTGAGAGATCCTCTCCCTTAATTATAATTTTACCTATCATCTGGCTGCCTACTGGGGTCAAATTCCTGAAATAGTCTAGAACAATTTCTGACAACTTCTGTTCTGTAACGAACACCAGTTCTCTATAGTCAGTCTTTCTACATCAGCTCCTTAAAATAACCCTTGACTTCAGAAGCTAGTAGCAAGTTGATTTGCAGTCATCATAAAATAATCAGTTTCAGGAAAAGTACAGAATCATACAGGTTCAAACTTACAAAAATAATTATAATACTACTGTAAGCGTGGAAACAACCTTGACAAACAGGATCCTCACCATTCCCCAGACCAATTCTGGTGAAAAGGTGCAAGGATTAAGAGAATGACTACCTGCTCCTACTCAGGGTTTGGCATGACAGCTCACAATGATCCCATTTTAAAAAAGAGGTGGCTAGTGCAGAGTTTTGATCACAAGTGTAGAAAACATAACCACTACTTTAGAGGTCAGTAGTACCTCCACAGCAATGGTTTCCAAACAGCAGTCCACAAGGATTTCATAACTGGTTTCTATGACCCATATTCTCTTCATGGTGTTTTCCATGAAAGTCTAATCAAACTCAGAGTGGCCTGAAGATTGAAGAGCTAATAGTCTTCCACTGGCTCAAGAAACACCGTTACGTTGCAGAACAGCAATCTCAACTTCTTACAGTACAAAACAGTTTCTGACCTTTGCAGCTTTGGCCTTCTCGAGCTGCTGAAGTTGTTCTAGAGCTGGTCCCTGAGCTGCAGTATCAATGGGGAGATCCCAGACACTGCTTCCTTCCCAGACTAGATAGTGAAGAAAACAAACATTGACAAGCAAAAATAAGCACATCAACAAAAAACAACTGAAAGGGGAAAATCTTATGTATGCAGTTACTATATTTTATGAACTCAAATCATGATATCACATTAGTCTTAGTCAGTAGAGGGCCACCTTATCTTCCTGTAGAGCAAGACTTGTCTGTTACTGAAGCAACGCTGGGTTTCCTACAAAATTCTACACAAGAACCAGCTACTCAAACTCAGAGCAGAACACCTTTATAATATAGCACTCAATCTCTTTGGATCAAGACTTCCCATAACCATAGGAAAAATTACCATATTCTTCACAGCTCTCAAATGGAATTTAAACTGCAAGGCAAAGTAGCCTGAACCAGTTTAAAAAATACTGATGCACAAATGTTTCCTCCAGTGTCAAGAAGGGATCTATCATCTCAAAGATGCTGGCTCTTAATCCATGAACTTTTCTTAACAGATCTGACATGTGCTAGGCATCTTACCTGTAGGTTGTGAAGCTGACTGAAGTTCCCATATTGAGCCAGTGTCCGGCACTGACACAGACCTTGTAACAGGTGGCATCATGTTCTGTTCAGATATTCTGTAATACCAACAGGAAGAGTCAACATGCCACTTCCAGGGAGAGGAGTGCTCTGAACACGCATGAGATTCAGTAACTTGTAACATACTCCTTTTATTCCACACCTCTATTTAAAACAAAAATATGATGCGGACAATACTACTTGCTTGTAGAGTTCTTGCTCATCTCATCCTTGCTGCCAAGTCAACGGCTAAGCCAGCTACTGCTACAGTTTTGCATTTGCTGCTTATAGGCTAGTTTGAGGAACAAGCATCTACTATTGCAGAACTCAACTGGCAAAGCCATTCTGTTACCAGCCCAACAGATCTGTCAAAAAGGTATGATTTCAACTATAAAACTTTCCTCCTCATTTTCATAAATATTCTCTGAAGTAAAGGCTACATATATAAATAAACAAGTATTTGACATCCTGCAACTGTTCCAATTTCACACAATCTTTAAAATATGTAATGCTCAAATATGAGCAAACTTGAATAGGACAGACCACTGACAAGATTATAATTATCATTATATACGAGTCAGAGCATAGGAAGAATGGTATTCAGTTCAAGTCTGGGCTAACTCACCTCATCTTCAGGGCCTGGAACTGTTGCAAGAGAATAGCAAGCTGCTGCTGCTGCTGGGATGAGAGGGCTGCCTTTTGCTGCTGAGCCAGCACCTGTGCATATTGTTGCCTTCAAAAGAGAAGCAGAGAATCACTGGTATTTGTTCACTTGCTTATTTATATAATGCCCAAGTTGCAGAATCTGCACATAAATTCACTCTCCAGGACTAATGCCCACTGCCCTATATAATGTACATGCTAAATACTAGAGGAAACCACAGAAAGGGGCCTTGGAAAGAATCAAAATACAAGAATACAACAAACTGGCCCACTAAATTTCTCTTCACACACCTATGCCAACCGGCTATTGCTGTCCAATGTACGCTGTGCAACACTACCTCCCTTTTTCTGTGTTACATACAAATTGCTCAAATTAATGTGGCTTTGATGACTGCCCACTTACACAAATCAACCTCTTCCCCACTATGTGAAGGCATCCCCTTGTACAGGGGCAGGCTCTTGCCTTATCAAATCATAAGCTGACAATCAGTATTCAGAACTAATCATGGCTCATGCTTTCAGGACCCCTTGAACAAGTAGTTTTATCCAATTGCTTTCTTTTCTCCAAGCTCCTGCAAAACAAGTTGGTAGGAACTGGCCAGAGCTGAACAACTGCCAGCTTTGGCAAAAATGGATGACAAACTCCTTTCTTCAGCAGCTACCTTCCACTAATGTTCAAGAAGCTGAGCAAGCACACAAAAAATAAATTCTCCCTTCTCCACCTCCAGTTCAAAAAGACATGTAGCCTTCCCCGACTCCAAAACATCCAAACTGCGTTACAAGGATAGCTGGGATTCAGTCAGACCATAACAGCTACCTATATAGCAGGTCTCACCAAAGTAGCTATGCGTGACACCAATAAAGACTCTGAGAAGCATGACACACCTCTGAGAGGTAGCCACACTCTGTCCTAATTCTGTAGACTATCAAGCCTCTGCTGTTTGTGGAAGCAGGCTATTGCTGTTGGAGGTGAAGCACTCCCAACCCCATTGCCCAAGGAAACAATGACAAGACGATAAACCCAGGTGATTAACAATGCAGAGCAGAACACTGCCACTGGAAGATCTCTGGGACTGGCAGTCTTACTGTATTAAAAGATGCTGATACTGGAGGTGCTGCATTTGGATCAGGGCCAACTCTTGTTGTCTAGTCAGCCGCTCCTGGTCCAGCTCACCCTATGTTGAGGAATAAAACATTCTATTTTAATAATATATAACAACAGTAGCTTATTGCAAATGCAAGCAATGAATGCTAAGTTGCATTCTGAACTGAAAAGACAAAGAAAATTAAAAAATATCTAGACAGAGACCAACATTTACACACAAAGCCTATAGTATGGGGACTGTGAAATACACAGCACTTGTACGTATCACAGGACCAAGCCTTCCAGCCACAGACATGGCAAAACAAACAATTTTAAGTGTCTCTTCTCCTCTGAAAAAGGTAATTTAACACAGGGTTCAACTTTGGTGCTTGGAACACTTGCAATTCCAAGAGCAAGCAGTTGGCACACAAATAGTTCAATTTCCCTTTGTTACAGGACTATTTGAATACTATAACTGTCATGTAATTACCAGATGTGGAAGCGGTGCTGGACCTGAAGTGAAGGGAACCCTGCCCCACATTTTCATGATGTCTCCAAGTGGCTGGAAAGTCTCATCACAGGCTCTCTTAACCAACAGCGACATAGTGAAGTATCCAGCCTGGAACCACTCTGCCATCTCCTGATTACTGAAAGGACCTGAAATAACACCAACCAATTCACATGGAGGGGAAGGGGTAGTAAGTCCAAGCTGGGCATACTGGAAACAAAGAGCGTTCCTGTCCGTCTCATGCACTTGCCTGGACAGACAGTACATTCAAGGCCAGACGGTCAATGCATCTTAACTACATCTTTACAGTGGCTACAGCATTCCCCCAGGTGAACTTTTCAACAAAGACTATCACTGCTTTTACCATGCATTGGAGAGAGAAGAGTCGGCTCCAAGATGAAAGCCAAGCAACCACATTGGTGTGGATCTTGGTCCAGCTAATTCACATCCTGCCTTCCAGCAAAGATGACTACTTCAGGCTCAACATCAGGTTGACAACAGTTGCAACTTCCAGTTTGGACCTCAGCAGTACTCACCAGCTGACAGTGCTAAAAGCGCAAGTGCTACTTTCCCCACATACACTGCACATATAATTAAACAATCTTAGCCTGTTTCAACTCTTGCCTTCACATCAGACGAATTCATGTTTTATAGAGGTTTTGCTTCTGAAACTTCTCAGACAAGCAAATCCACCTCTGAGTGCAAGATTACATTTTTTAAGATAATGACGAAACCAGTTTCTCTTTTCCTTTCCCAAAAAGCTACACTTCTCTTCCTCCTTCCCCTGAGAAAGATTTCAGTCACCCCCTTCAAAGGAGGACTCCTATACTAATTTTACACATCCAAACGGACACAAAGCCAGTATCAGAAAAATACATTATTTAACAGAGGAAGAACCACATAAATACAATTTTTGGAAAAACATCTTCTGAAAAGCAAGAATGTTCAGTAATTCTTGCCTTCTCTGTACAAATATCTTTAGAAGGTAATTCCTCCCAGAGAGTATGAAACCACAAAAGGTATCACAAGAAAAAAATTACATGGGAGTGTTTACTTGTGGAGATCACATTCAAGGAAGTAGCTAGTCCAATGAAAAACTGTTAGACCATCACTGAGCAATAAACACCCAGCAGCAACTAACACACAGTTTGAAGCCCACTGAGCAAATAAGAACTGTTATGGTTAACGTTTAACCTTTAAACTCAAAAGGGTGAGAAGAAAATCCTAAAGATGCGTAATGCCTGCCGACAAGAGACTGGCACAGATCCCACAAATAACACCCCCACAAATCCTGTCTAGAGTTCATAGCTGAGGAAGTAATTCACACTAAACAATGTTAGCAGCTGCTACTTAGTGAAGTACAGCAAGTAAGGCACTCACGGCTTAATTGCTTTTTTGGGAGGCAGCTAAGCAGCTGCTAGAAACAGAGCCTTGAGACCTCCAAAAGAAAAGTACCTTCTGAAAGCAAAGATGCAAGTATGTATATGAAATTCCTGTTCCAACGTGCATTGCAAAAAAAATGAGATTTCTTAAGTGAAAACTGCAAGCATGAAACAGTTGGAGTGAACTAATAATGCACTGACTGAAGCACAATTTAAACTGAGATTATGTGTGAGCACTGGCTTGTGAAAACTTGTTTTCTCTTTAAAATCTAAACAAATTACCCTTCCCTGAATACGCAATGTCTTCAGGCAGAGACTAGAAAACTGATTTCAGTGTTTCTCATGGATTCTTCAACAAGCTACTGAATGGTCACATTCTTGTTTCGTTTCCACTGTTATCTGGAAATCTGAGTAACTATGTTTTAGTCTAACCTCAATTTACAGAAACATGAAGCGATGGCAAACCTTAGCCACAATAAAGTAGAATGGTGGACATTAGGCATGGTAAGCTGATGGGAACAGTGATGGGTAGAAGATCTATTTTCAAAACGTCATTCTAGAGTGGTAAATTCCCTGTGCTGCTTTTGTAAAAACAAGCATCAATATCTGCTGGCAGTAATTTTGTGAAGAACTCTTTAACAGTTCTGTGAAACAAAAGAGGAATTGTAAAGGGCACAGACCTACCCTGAATTTCTCCTTGTGGGTCTTTGTAGTACCACTTCTGCATGGCTTCATGGAACAAGGGCATGGAAGAACCCTTTGCTCTGTGCTCTTGAATTTTTGCTGCTAGTCTTTCATCATCAAGGGCACTGTCCTGCAGGTACGCCACCATTTTCTCTGCTTGCTGCAGAAGACGTGAAACCCAGCAAGGAATACAAGAGTTAGTTGTATGCTTACAGATTTTAAAATTAGTGCACCAAATAAGAGCAAGCTTGTACCACCCAGTGCTCAAGAGCGTACCAGGAATTACAGGTAACTCAAGGACTGGTGTAACTGCACCACAAACCCTGAGCTCAGCCTACCACCTTGTCAGAATCCTGAATAAGCACGGTTCATCTGCTTAAGTAAAGCTTTAAAACAACTTGCCCAGAAGGTCTCTCTCAGTATCATGGTGAAAAGTAAAACAGGTATGGGAGCACTAGCGTGAAGAATGCTCTACATCCCAGCAGTCACTGAACTTTCATGAACACAGTCTGCACTTCATTATGGTTTTGGTTGTGGGTTTGTTGGGGTTGGGTTGTTTTTTTAAATATTGGGCATACTGTTCTATGGTTTCTCAAGGCAAATGGTAAGGCTACTTTACAGTGGTCATAAGTACTAGGATCTCTAGCTCTTTAACACTGGGTATAGTACCCTTATTCAGAAAAATAATACATAGGATTGAATTATTCTGCAAAAAAGAAAATGGAGGGAATAAAAGTACCTTTCAGTATACATTGTGAAGTGTAAAGTTTCAGCAGCATTTCTGTTTTTACGGGCTTCAAATATTTTTTTTACATTCCACATTCCTCCACTCTCATGACTGTCAACAGCAAAGGAATTTAAGAAATTTTACCTGCTCTAGGTGTTTGAGGCCCTCTTCATCATCTGGGTCAGTGGGAATGTTGCCCATGCCTGGCGCAGCTGTGACAGGTGTCTGAACTGGCCGCAGAGCAGGATTTGAATTGGAAACAGGAGGAGAAAGATGAGCAGGAGAAGCTGCGTCTGCAGAAATCTGCGGCAAAGGTTGAGCAACAGAAGCCAAATCTAACAAAAAATGTTAAAGTTAGTTCACTATCTTTAACATAAATGAAAATTACTTTCGAGAACTTACTGTAGAAAACATTCAACAGATCAAAATGAGCACCAAAGCAAAAGTATTTTCACATCTTCCTGTATGTATGACTGCACATTGGTACTGTTCACGACCTAACTTCAAGGAACAAACAGTTTAGTTCTAACAGTGCAGAACTCAACACACTTCAGCATATCCCATTCCCCCATTTGTCCAGACTGATCTGCTCTACCACAATGAGGCACAGCCACAACGAGCCCATTTTTCTCTTGACTGCATTGCAATGTGAAGTACCAGTGCACTGCAACCATTTCAGATAGCACATCCAACAAATCTTGAATTTATACCAGTTAGCAAATTCTGGCTTTTCATCACCATAATCCAGTCCTTGTCTCTTAAAAATAGAGACCAAGACTAGTCACAACAAGTAATGGAAACTTACTAAATTTGTCTATCAATTTTATTACCTTCCCCTCTGTTGGAGATTTTGGCTGGTGGTGTATTCTCCGTTCGATTCTCTTTATCTTCTGTTTTTTCTGTTCTTTCTGGCACAGACTCTTCCTTCCTTTCAAAAAGGCTCGTCTGCAGTGGGTCTGGAGGCTGGGATTTCGGTGGGGTATCTGAGCTGGCAGCTGGTGAAGATGTTTGGACTGCTTCTTCCACTGCTTCTGTAACATTGCATGGTTCTACGTAACTGAATTAACAGAAATTCTACTCCGCAGCACAGAACAGATGCATGAGTAGTCCTCCTTACCTGCTGCTACTCTATCTGTTTTCTCCCCCTCTTTCTTGGTGGTCTTTTCATGATCTTTGGCTTCTTCATTGTGGCTCCCTTCAGAGTCAGATCTTTCCTCCCCTTCCTCCACAGGTCGGAAGTCCATCTCCTGTTCCTCAGGGATTGGCTCCTTCTGCACCTTCTACGAAGTCAACATAATCATCTATAATCCACCCCACAAAACAGGACATTTGCTCAAAGTGAACAAAGGGCCCAAGACAGCTTTTCACCTTTAGAGAAAGAAACGCTCCAGAGGAGTCAAATGTTCCCATTTCTTCTTCTGCATCTTCTAAGCACCACTCAGGGAGACTGTCCCTGTCGTCATCCATGCTGCCACTCCCACACCGTACCCGTCGATAACCCCGTTCATCATCTCGTTCTCGGAAATCAAATTCAAACCTCCGTCGTCGCTCCATGTGTTCTCGCCAGCCTGCAGAACGAGGGCCGTCTAAGGTGGGGGGAAAGTAACTTTACAAGACAGTCCCGGGGGTAGTAGCTTACTTGGAAGGATGAAGGGGTGGGTGAAAGAGATGACAAACAGTGACAGAAATTCAGAAAGACCCTACAGGGTACAATCCACCTATGAACAGGCATCTTAAAGGACAAGGGAAAGAAAAGGCATATCTTACCATTAAGCAGGAGACTTTCAAGTATTGTCTGCTGTATATCCCCACAATATAAATTGTGTTATGAGCATAAAAAAAACCATGTAAGGCTACGAAAGCTGGGCTACATAATCTAAAACATGCTGGGCACCAAAATAAGACAAGTGACACTAGATGCTGACTGTACTTACCAGCGATCATTGATTTAAACCTTTTTTGGCATCTTTATATGTGTAAGATTTTATATTTTCTTTTAGGCAATCTGCAAAGGTCACATCCTAAACAAACCACCCATGCTCT